GCTGTGCGCAGGCTTTCTCTAGTTGCGGCGAGTGGGGGCTACTCTTTCGTTGAAGTGCGCGGGCTTCTCGCTGCGGTGGCTTCTCTTGTTGTGGAGCACGGGCTCTCGGCGCGCGGGCTTCAGTAGTTGTGGCACGTGGGCTCAGTAGTTGTGGCTCGCGGGCTCTAGAGCGCAGGCTCAGTAGTTGTGGCACACGGGCTTAGTTGCTCCGCGACATGTGGGATCTTCCCGGACCAGGGCTCAGACCCTTGTTTCCCTGCATTGGCAGGCGGATTCCTAACCACTGCGCCATCAGGGAAGTCCTAAATAATCTTTATAATTATCATTTTAATGGTCTCACTGAGTGAATATACACCATAATTTACTTAACCGTTTACCTACTGTTAGGCGTTTAGTTGCTTCCATTTCTTCACTCCTTTAAGCTGGAATGAACATCTTTATATAAGCTATTAATTTAAAGCAGCATGCAGAGATGACTCTCCATCACTCATCTAAAAACACAAGGTTTATATATTTACAACTCACATTTGATTGTGAAATTGAATCTGAGGGTAACTGAGACATTTATATCGCGAACAGCTCCTCGGCGTCGAGCTCCCCCCGAGCTAGCCAGGCGCGACCATGACTTTTGCCATTTTCACCTCAAGACAGCACAGTCCAGCGAATTCTGAAGCACAATTTCCTTATGAAAAATAAACTTTCTGAACTCTTGCTGCTTTAGAGCCAAGAGGTTAACTCCAAGAGTCCGTGGTTCTCTGCGGTGACACAGCCGAGGCAAGCCATCGCCGAAAATGCCAGTTTGGTGTCACGCTCAATCCAAAATTCAAGGCAACCCTTGTTGAGTCTGTGCTCTAGGACCAGGTACGTTCCTGGGACCTACCTGGAGGTTCTCTGCATAACCTGCACCCAGATACTTTGCAGCAACAGGCCGAGGAAATGGCTTACGTGAGTTCCAGCTGTTTGATGGTTTATGAGGTTTATCATGGGTCACTTCCAGTTGCAGATTTCCCCAGGCAGGGGTAGTTGCCTAATGCATGGGACTTAAAGGGACGCACTGGCTGTGTGATTCTGAGCAGGTTTCGAAAAAATCTTGTGCCTCAGTTTCTCGATCTGCAGCTTGAGGATAACAGTAGTACCGCCCCTGTGAGGCTGTCATGAGAGTCAAGGAGAAGGTGCACGTGAAGTGCCTAGGACAGTGCTGGCATTCGGTTAGGACACAGAAACAGGGAACATATGGACTGAATGTTGAGGTTACACTGTAACGTGTACAGGAACGAACGCGTGAAGGAACGATGAAAAACGAGCGTGCCAGGCAGTTCCACTTGTCTCAGACTCTCATCTAGAGAATGTCCAATTTTCTTTTATGACACAATCCTTTTTTATTTGTTTTTAAATTTTATTGAAGCGTAGTTGATTTACAACGGTGTGTTCATTTCTTCTGTCCAGCAAAGTGACTCAGTTATCCATATGTATAATTCTTTTCCATTACAGTTTGTCACAGGATTTTGAATATAGTTCCCTGTGCTATGCAGTAGGACCTTGCTGTTTATCCATCCTATGTATAATAGTTTGCCTCCGCTACTCCCAAACTTCCATACAAAATCATTTTCTTAATGGTAATCATTTCGAGCCCAATCCCCCCAATAAACAGTGAATGAACACCCTGGAAAGATGTGCCCAACTTAATATAAAAGTGATTCTTAATGTCCAGGAAAATTCCATTGTGAAGCTTTAGAAAATATCATCCAGTCATCAGTAGAGCTCATAAACTCATCTGAAGACAGAATAAGTCATCTGCAAAACTCCTTGGTGTCTTTACTGTCAGTGAAATTAGGACAACTTCATTACTATACTCAAAACAAATTCAGCAACAGCAAGCTACACTGATAAAAAAATCTTATTTCGCACCATCATTTCTACTAATAAGGAAGTGATTTTCATATACTTTGCAATCCCCTGTGAGACAGAGAGGTGCTCAGGAATTGTTTACTACTATTATTTTGCCACTGACAACTAATTCTTCTGATTTGTTTTATTAGTTTGATGATTGGGTCCAAGACTCAGAATATCTTTCCAAACCAGCAGACTGATGTAAAAAAAATTACTTCAGTTTTTGGCAAATCGTGAGGATGAATATAGCATGGTAGGACAAACTTATTCAGACACTCATTTTTCTGTAGTGGCAGGGAAAAGGCTGAAAAATTACTGTAAATTGCTTTTTGTAAAAATGCTCTCTCTTTCAAATTTTCCCTAGTATGAAGGTCTTCTGTAGAATGATGGCACAATACATGCTGACAAACCTGGACAACAAAGGCATTAAAGCATGAATAGGAGATAGAGTGAGGGTTAAGATTTCATTTCCTTATTATCCCAACCGCCCCCCCCATAATCTCCCCAACACAAGATCCCTTGTGTGCATCTTTTTAACCTCATGGAATAAGTAAGTGTCTCTTAACCATATACATTATCTACCCTTAGCAGGCATGCTCTGTCCCCACCACCCATAATCTAGTTCAGTCTGTACCTCTCCCTTTCCTTCTCTCCAAAACTGCCTAGTTTTTCGAGTTTCAAATGACAAAGGTCTCCAGATATCCTCAGTACCCAGTAGAGCACCAAAGACCAAAGAAGGCTTGTTCTGTCTTCTCCAAACTACCCTCGGATTGTGATTGTTTCGCATTAACTCTTTTGTCGGAGGACACACAGGCTGCAATGGAGTGAGGCCTTGCCTCGATGCTGGCTCAGCACAGAGCTGGATCTTTTCCAGATTGGAGCGTCAGAGCTGACACTTTGCAGACACCCTGCCCCCTGGGAGGTGGGACACTGCCATCCCTTCTTGGTCTTTTGCGTGGCTTTCCACCCCAGCCTTACCTTCAGGACACACTCTAGCCACCCAAGGTTACAGGTCTAGTGCAGTGGTTCTCAACTGGGAATGGTTAGCCACCCCCCCCCCCACCAGGGCCATTTGTCTGGAGCCACTTCTTGCTGTCACTTTGGGGTGGAGGTGCTACTGATATCTAGTGGAGAGAAGCCAAGATGCTAATAAACATTCTATACTGTGTAGGAGAGCCCGCCCAACAAAGAATTACCCAGCCTATAATGCCAGGAGTGCCAAGGCTGGGACACCCCGGTGTGATCGAAACCAAACTCTGCAGGGATTATTTTTGATGTCCTCTAACGTGATTCCCAGCTTACTGTTCAAGGCAGAATTGATGAAGTACCTGCATTTTCTCTAAGCCTTTCGTTCAGTAACACTAGTGAAGTGCTGGACCGCGCCAGTGCCATGCTGGCATGAGATGTCAACTTAACGGAGTCCCCAAACTCCGAGGGGGGGCAGTTCCACTAACTCACTCTCAGACAGGGGCTCCAGCTTCTCCTCTCTTCTCCTTCTCTGAACCACCACACCCGTTAGCCTGCAGTCCTAAGTCAGTAAGGACTAGGGACGTGGGGAAGTGTCCTGCCTCTCTGTTCACTGGACACCTGAGGGACAAAAAACAGCATGGACTCAGGGGTCAGGTAGATCAGGAGCCTGCCAGTATGTCTTACTTGCTGTGTGACGATGACTAAGTATCGTAACCTCTCTGAACCCCAGTTTCCTCCTTGAAAAGGGAGTGTGGCACTGAAGGTACTAGATGTGGCCCTCCTCTATCAGCAGAGCTCCTGGGGGCCCACACACCCACTGGGTCCCAGAGTAGCAGCCACGTGATCGCAGTGCCTCTAGCATTTCACGGAAGTGCTCTGGGAGGGACAGGGTGGCCTGACCCTGTTCTTGTTCCCCTCTCACCGGCTCCTGTCAGTGACCTTGCCTCTCTGGGCACCTTGCTTGGATGCCAGTGCCCTGTACAGCCTAGCTTCCTCCCATCTGGCTGTTTTCTTCTCGAACACAGGGGGAAAAAAATGAATGCTAACTCACAAACAGCATACTTAACTATATTTTCTCGCTTTCACTTCAACCCTCAAGAAAGTTCTTCCATGTATAATACACAGCTGTGAATCTGCCTAATAAAGTGAAGGCATTCTACCCACTGGTATTCCCCGGGAGCAGTCACTGGCCACCTGCATCTTTTTAGTTGCATTTAATAATTCAGCCCAAGATGAATTTGCATGATTAACATAAAGCCTTGTGATTTTATTTTCTTTCAGGATTTAAATCCTGAAACAACCACCATTGTGTTCATTTTCAGAGGTTGTGATCAAAACACAAAACTTGATTTTAGAATGAATCATTTCTTTAAAAAAAAAAAAAAGCAGTATTTTCAAATACCGCTCTCCACAGAATCAAAGAAAAGAGTTGCTAACACAGACTTTGTAGATGTAGGGAAACCCACGTCCTTTATATGGCTCCTGTTAACCCATTAGAAGCAAGCCATACTGCAGAGATTTTTTTCCTTTATGCTTTTCCCATAAAGCAGCACGGCCCACTATCCCATGGCACCCAGAGTGGCTACCATAAATAGATTTAGCTCAGTTCCTCATCGGAGGGCTCTCCACATTTATCCGATCAGGAGCTAGAATCCCCGAGAAGTCTTTAAGAAAAAATAGCAATTCTCTCGGATTCCAATAATAGATTAATCACGTCATCTTCAAAAAAGTAATAAAAACCCAAACCAAGTAAGTTGCATTTGGAAAACCATCTGCCTGTGAAGTGGAGATGTGCGTGTGAAGTGGCAATTTGCAAAGCAGAAGAGGCAGCGCCGTCGGGTTTCTTCACGAATATAGTAAAACAGGTTTGTCTAATAGGGAAACATGCCTTACTATCAAAAGAAAACCGAGTGTATCCCACATGGAGAAGGAAGCAAGCTTTAATGTCCGAGAAGCATTTCAAGCTGTGCCTGCCAGCGATTCTCCGCCTGTCTGATTTTCCTTAACATAAAAGCCGACCTCACCTGTTTAAAAATAATTAGGGAGCAGGCAGTAGTCATTCCGGCCAAAAGTTTGTGCTGCCTGCATTTGCACGTGTGTTTCTGTTCCACTGACACATCTGTTGCTGTCTCCGACTGCAGGAACCATGGTCAGTAAGGAACCCAGCAAATGCGCACTCACGACCTCGGCCAGTGAAGTGGAGCCTGCCGCGTGCCTGGCCCTGGAGATGAAATATGCCCTGGATCCCAACCGGCAGATTAAGAAGCGTAATAAAGCCCTGCAGGTGCGGTTTAAGGATATCTGCGAGGCGCAGAACGAGCAGAGGGACACGCAGCTCTCCTCGGGACAGCTGGGCGACAAGCCAGCGTCCTACAGGGCCACCTACCGCAAATACATGACCGTGCCCGCTCGGAGGTCCATCCCCAACGTCACCAAGAGCACAGGTGTGCAGACCTCGCCGGACCTTAAGAAGTGTTACCAGACTTTCCCCCTGGACCGCAAGAAGGGGAATCTCAAAGGCATCCCAGCTGCGGATGCCTTTAAAAGTCAAAACAATGGGTTTGTAATTGATGCGAAAGAGAAGACTGAGGAAGGGCCCGGGGAGGGGTCCCGGCAGTGGGACGCGGACCGGGTTCAGAAGGCGGCGGCATTGGTTTTCCACTCCGATGAGCACGTGAACGCGCTGGGCCAGCCCGCCGGGGTCAACTGCGCAGAGCCATGCAGAACCCCCGACCTGCACCGCTGCCCAGATGCTCCTCTCCAGAACTCCACTCGTCCTCCCTCCCAAGAGCCCGATTACCAGCTGCACGGGAAAGCAAAGCACGACCGGGCGACCCCAGACGCCGAGGAACCCGCCGCATCGGCCCACGGGACGGTGTTTAAGACGGAGGTGGCCACCGTTTACGCACCTGCCCCCGGCGCTAGGGCCCCCGAGCTGGCCTTGTCGAACTCCGCCCCCTCGAGCGAGTGGGCCGTCTGCCCCGTGGCCGACCAGGAGCGGAGGAAGGCCTCACGGGCCAATGGGCTCCAGGCCCCGCCCGGCGCTGCCCTGGCCTGCTCGCCCCCGACGCAGTGCCTGTCCCCCGAATGTAGTGAAGCGTCCCTGCAGACTCAGGCCCCCCCGGCGCACGAGCACCAGCCTTGTCCGACAGCGCTCGCCGTGGGTGAAGAATGCCAACAAATCGTGCCTCGTGCGGAAGTGGTCGATCTGAAAGCACAGCTTCAGATGATGGAGAACTTAATCAGTTCAAGCCAAGAAACCATCAAAGTGCTCTTGGGGGTCATTCAGGAGTTGGAAAAAGGAGAGGCCCATCGGGAAGGGTATGTATGTTCACGCCTTTCTTATGATGCTCCCTGCAGGCTTATCACCCTCAGGGGCCAGCAGCAGCCCCCAAAGCCCAAATCCTTAATGAGACTAAAGCCTGCGTTTCTGAGAACAGGCTGTAGTCTGAGGACAGAGCAAGGTCAAAGCAGTCCCAGGTTATTTTATGACGCTAGACCTCATTTACCCTCACCTGCAGGACTGACTTGTTGGTTAGCATTCCTGCACCTGGCCTGGAATTTAATACCTATTTTCTGAATGAACTGATGGAGCTTTCCTTTTTATCTCCCAGGGCTAAAGGTTTATGATACTGATGAAGTATAATAGGTATGCCAGTCCAGAATATCTAATCTAAATAAGAAGCTACCTGCCTCTTAGGAAACATATTATGGAAAAGAAATTCGGATGGCATTTTGAAAAGTAAATGCTGACTCGCTTATGCTAAATAATTGGAATAACATTGATATTCAGGACTGTATGAGGTTTTATATTTTATACAGCAGACAATTTTTTTTTTTTCTTACTTGGAACGCATAGAAGCAATGCCCATCCTTAGACAAATCCTATCTGTATATCATTAGGAGCAAGATGCCTTTCTCCACGAGTTGCCCTGTGTGTACAGGTGGGCAGGAGGGAGAATGAAAACAGCCAGGACTGTCTGCCATTGATAACAGATCACTGAACTCTGTTGCCCTTCTTTTGTACTTGAAATTGTGCTAGGACAGCCAGGCAGTGTGCTAGGCTGATACGAAACAGCCAGCACTGCTCTGCTTCCGTGTTTCTTGAAACAGTGTCACGGCTCACTGGTTTTGTCTAGACGGCCAGACCTTCTCTCTGTCCCATTCCCCCATGAAGCTGTCTGGATTCCAGCAGCCCATGTTTTGGAGGTGGCATCTGAGGCAGTGCCCTGTTGCCTCGCGTGATTAGCACGCTTCACCCCGTGGGCTCCCACCCCTGGGTTAAGTGAGCTGGCAGCCAGCATGAAGATAAGCCAAGAAATGCACTGTCAGGGCAGCAAACCACCCTTGCACAGGATTGCTGGGGCTGAGTTACGTTGTGTTTGCATGTTGCAGACAAAGGGGAGGGAGCAACCTCTGTGATCTTAAGCCCTGGCCCCAGAGGCAAGGTGCCTGGTGCAGATGTTGCCCTTGGTGTCTGGCCTCTCCAGCTTCGTGTAGGTGGTCCATCTACAAAAGGAGTTAACTCTCAATAACCCCCACCTCCTACGACCCAGCATTGTTTGCAGCCTACAGTATTAAGCAAAACAAGCTGCTAGCCAATCGTAAACTAATCTAACAGTAGACCTACCATTATAGAATGGTTTTCAAAGGCTTTCTTGAATTTTGGGTTTACATCTCCATTTTCATCCCACTTCAATCATTTAGCCTTGAATAAATACATAACCAAAAGCAACACACTAAGGTGGGTCTGTAAGGGATTTGTGATCAGTAAACCACTCCCATGGAAACATGAAAAGCCCAAACAGGGACCGATCACTGACTTCGATATAGCTGGTAGTGACTTAAACCAGACAGCAAACTAGAAAGATACCAACATCACCAAATGGGAAATAAAATTCAACAAATGGTATAAAACCAAGTGCATATACTAAGTCGCGTGCATCTCACAGGGGTGTGTCCCAAAATAAACAGCTGCATGGGTTGAACATCCACAAACACCCCATGCAAGGAGAACTGTGTTCTACACGGAGGTTCCTTCTATTAGAACAGGGCGGAAAGTTGTTTTAAATGGGATCCTCTGAGTTCTTTGAGACTACATCAGTCTTCAAAGTGGTTTTGAGTTTGTTAAGACATGTCTAGGTGGGAATTCTGGCTCTGAGGACTTGGGCGAGGGCTGCACCTCTCTGTGCCTCATTGCTTCACCTGTAAGTTGGAGCTCATCCCCCGTCCTGCAGACCGAGGGTGAGGAAGACAGGGAGTGACCTTTGAATGCACGGAGCCCAGCACCAGGTGCATCTGAATGGGGTGGCGTCTGCTGGTGGCGTGAGGGTTGCCTTGCTGGTCAGCGGTGTTGGGGTCTGGGGAACACTTAGTGGCCCCATGTCTGAGTCCAGAGTGACGGATGCACCCCACACACTCTCAGTACACAGGCTGCCACCAAGGGCCGTTCCTGCTGGCCCTGACCTGCTTTGTCCACATGTGGCTATTGAAATTCAAACTCGAATTAATTACAATTGTAATTCCGTTCTTTAATCACATCGGAAACATCACAGGTGCCCCAGAGCCACCTGTGGAGACTGACTCCTACACAAGACAGAGGACACTGCCATCATCACAAAAAGGCCTTCGCCCCAGTATCCCCAAAACAAGGGACAGTGCCTGGCTCCTAACCATTTGAGGAGTGGGCACCTTCGATCAAGGCAAAGGATGACTTGACTTAGAAATCAATCTCTAGGTCAGTTGTTGTCTGCACAGGCCAAGTTCACGGTAGGAAAGCAGGACCATAGCCGGGTGAACCCCCACATCTGTTCCTAATAATCTACATTTCCACCTCCCTCCCTGCGCTCTCCGGATAACAGTGAGTCAAGTGGTTTCAAATCCCAAAGCCCCCTTGAAGGTGACCTCTCTTGCTCAACTGCCCAGGGTCATTGATTTGCCCAGAATTCAAATTCCCACCACTGTTTTCCACTTCAGAATATGGACAAGGAGACAGCGGCCTCGGAGGTGGGCAGATAAGAAGCAAAGCTCCTTCTCCATCCCTTTCTCAGGGGTCTGGGCCAGCAAGGGGGGAGAGTCTGCTGGTACATTTTTAACAACTGGCTCTCAAAGAAGGGGGAGTAGCATTTGCTGATTTCCACGGTGTAAATACTGCTATTGTGGCCAGTATCAGCCAGCTCATTAAATCCCGAAAATGTAACCTTCGGCTGCTCTGAGCACTGGACCAACGCCCTGAAGGACATGCACCAGGACAGTCACTTTAAAGGAGGAATTCACAGGACTTATTTTATGTGCTCAGTCTAAGCCAAGAAATGTTATCCTATCGTTGCATCTCATGGTAGAAAACAGTAAAGCTCGCTCCACGTAGGTTATTGTTATAGTCATTTTGTAACATGACAAGGAATTTCACGATCACATTAAAATATTGGAAAACACTCCACGTCATCACCTGTGAAGAATGCTCAGAACCTGTGTACAATCCACTTCTCTCCTCACCCTTCACCCCCAAATTAGCTTGCAAGGGCCTTTGTATAGAAATTAACCTTCAGTAAGAGGAGTCTCAGTGAGGGAAGGAATTCAGTGTGCACTTGACTTAGAAATCAATCTAAGAGCTCACGACTTTGAAACCAAGTGACACATTTTGCCCCCAGATCCCCACTGCACTGCAGGCTTGAGCCAGGGCTGGCGAGGCCTCAGGCGTGCTCTAGCGCAGACCAAAGGAAGACAATGCTCGTTGAACTTGGCTAGCATGGCCATGGGCAAATTACATTGAATGTATAACTTGAATAGAACTTCTTTTCATTGTTGAGTTTGTTTATGCATTACCAAGTCTGCCAGGCAAGTTCTTGCAATAGTTCTTACTCTGTGCGTAGAAATTTCTGTATCACCAACCAGGACCATTTTCAGTAACTTCCAAATTATTTTTCAGAAGAGACTCTTTCTTTACTCTCGTTTGCTTATATAGATTTCCGAAAGGCCTCAGCAGAGAAAGTTTTCAGTTTAGGCAAGTTACTTAATCTCAGCTAGTTTCAGTTTCATCTTCTATTAAACAGGGATGCTAGAAGCTTAACAATGTTGTCCACAAAGGTCTCAGCAATAACCGACGCACAGCGGGCACTGAAAAAGGACCTATCCTAATATGAGCATTTCAGCGGGATGCATTCTTTAAGCGAGTGGATGTGCACAAAGTGTTCAGGAACATGCCTTCTTATTCTTAGTCCCTTGTAAAATGTCTGGGCAATTCACTAAAACCGCTCACTTTAAACAATTCAGGCAGCCTTTGATCCCTCTGTTTGCGTGAATGCCAAGAATGATCCTGCTTATTTCAAAGCTCTCAGCGTTATTCTTGTCTCTTCCCGGGAAGTTCAGGGTCACACAGGATATCTAAACGAGCCACAAATGTAATCGCTGAAGGCTGAGACCGGGCAAACGGGGCACTGAGTTTAGAAACCCAACCAATTCTTGTTAACAGTCGTAATTCCCCAGAGCAGCTGTGGGTTGCTGGGCAGGTGACCCTCCGACCCAAGGCTGTGGGGCTGCAGCACTCAGCTCAGGGGCTGCACCCTTACCGGCCACCTCGGCAGGGAGACGGCTGCTTACTTCTAAGGTGCTGGCAGCCCCACATGTGAGGTGTCTTGAGGGGTTCACTAGCGGATGACAACCCAGCGACCCTCGGTTCTTCAGAGAAGACCTACAGATGACATGAGAAGCTTTACTCCACCCATTAAGCAAGAGGGCAGGAACCTGCCATTGCCCAGAGTGAGATAGGTTCTTTCACTGGTCGGGTCTCTCCCAGTATCAGCCAAGTGCTAGCTGCAGGCTTGGGGGTGTGGGAAGGAGGAAGGAGCAGCTAAACCCAGGCCACTCCTGGCCCTTAAATGTGACCAGCAGGCAGCAGGCAGACAGGAGATCATGAAGCTCCGGGGGCTTTGTACTGAGTCAGAGCGAGTGTGAGGCCATCACATAAGACACGAAAATCCTAAGTAACCAACCAGCCCGAGGAGCCTGGTAGCTTGCAGTGAGCGTTATAAATCCAGTGGTTCAACCTCCCGGCCATGGGGTCCTATTCAACCTCACTGAGAAACGGGTTTCTCCACGGGGGGATGTCCCGTTCTCCCGAGTCCAAGTCACACAGCGACAGGAAAGGGAAAAACTAGCCAGGGGAATCGCCCTGAGGTCAGGGGCCCTTTGAGGGCACAGTCTCAGGGGCTCTGCCGGCAAAGGCAATAGGAATAAAGGTCTGGGGATGGCCACGAGTTAAGACAAACCCAGTGTGGAATCCTGTAGTCACGTTTGCTCAACTTTGTTTTTCCTTTTAATCA